GCATAATTTTCGACACTAAGCTTACCTTCATAAAACACATGAAGTACTTCAAAGACAAGTGCATCTAAGCCACGAATGTTCTAAAGGTGTTGTCACGCACTACGTGGGGCAGTTACAAGAAGTGTTCGATGAACTTGTACAAAAGTCTCATACGTACCCGCCTTGACTATGGAGCAATAGCATACCAGTCTGCGACACCTACTTCCCTTAAAATGCTTTATCCTGTACATCATCTAGGCATTCGTTTCTCTGCGGGTGCTTTTCGCACTAGCCCAGTGGAAAGCCTGTACGTGTAATTGAATGAATGGTCGCTTGCATGTCCTTTAAATATTACCTTAAAGTGAACGCAGACCAAGAGCACTTTACACATTTCACAATTAATGATATGTCAAGTTCTGCTCCATTCAAATACCGGCCTTCGATGAGACAGCCCTACTATCTTCGTGTGAGGAAACTTGTTTGACACTTGGAACACCGTTTGATGGTTCCCATAGCAAGTCTGCCGCCGGGGCATACGATAGATTGCGATGCGTCTTTCTCAGAGGTTAAAAAGAACGCGCCCATTGTCGCACATACTTCCTGGAACTGCAAAAAAAATTTCCTGACTTTTTTACAGATGTCCAACACTTCTATGTCGTAGGCAGCGACCGGCCCATACTTTTTGTATCTGGTGTCCGGCATCCTGATACAAGCATTTTCACAGGAGAAGCCTCTGCGATACTTGCAGCTGTTGCCGCATTGTAACACATTGCCGCATTGGAACTACAAAAGGCAGTAATTTATGCTTAAAACACAAAAACGTTCTTGTTATGCTTTATTCACTCTTATATACAATCTACTAAACCAAACAACATGTCGTAGCTTGCTGAGTACAATGGCAGTGTGATATACAAGTGAACGGTTTGGCGGACCAGCTGGCTGGATCTGCCAACGACGCCGCTGCCAATGCATCAATACCAATCCCTGCACTTGACTTGAAACGTTTTTCTAAAATAAAAGCTCAGCGGCTATTGGTAGAGCACGTGGGATAGACACACAGATAATAAACTGCTTGTTATTAAGCCGCAACTTCGTAATAGGCCGCCAATATCAAAATCACGACACACAGAAGCAGCCCTTACAATGTTATGAACAGGACATTCATAGTCTACACATGCATGCCTTTTATCAGCTCGTGATCCACCATTGTGTGAGAGATGTGGGAAACAACTTATGGTTCTCTACATACTTGTTCAGTGCAATGAGTTAGATGCTCTAAGAAAGAAGCACTTCTTATTACCCTACTGACAGCAGCTTCCGCTACAATCTGCCATGCTCATCGGTAGGGGTACGATCTTTAAACTTCAATCTCTGTTTACGTTCTTAAGAGATGTAAATCGTTTTCACCCCATATTCCGAGCTGATCCGTAGCACGACCTCTGTACCGAGGTCGGGGCTGCGGTGGCTACACCTCTACTATGGTTTTATTATCACGACCTTTCACCATTTACTCTCATTGCACATACTTCACGGCACTGTCATGATTTTAATGTTTATGTGTGTTTACCCGCTTTAGCACGAGTAATTTTAAGGCCCCTATACAGCCACGTAACATATCGTTCTTCAGAACTCTTTCCTATTGAAATAGTGCTCTTTATCCATCAATGGGCCCTTGCGCCATAAAGCACCACACTTCATCATCATCGTCATCATCATCATCATCATCATTGATAAGATGGCTGCAATCTTTCACAAATACATATTTGAGTTTTTATTTATGTGGCCCGTGCTATTCATGTGAAGACTGTTATCATTGTTAAAACGAAAAGAACTGATAATGTTGTCACCTATATGCCACCATACATAAAAAGTGCGACAAATACGGCTATGATTTCACTGTCTTCACTTACCTGTTACTGTGTCCCCGCTAAAGATTGATGAAAAAATACCATTGATATTTACGTACTATTCTAGCTCTGGCTACTGTTCATCCTTTTAGATGTTAGTTTTCAGTTTTACTGTATTGGAAAGAAATCAAAAGATTAATAAGAGTTGAGCTTGCGGATACATTACACGAGCTGCACTGAACAACATAAAGTACTCAAGGCAACCTTAAGACAACTTTCTCTTCAAAGTGCGGACAAACAATTGCTTCACAAGGTACGCAAGATGCACACGACGTTTGCCCATGATGCGCAAAGGAACAATTTCCTTCTCAGTTGCGATTTGTTTTTTATGACAAGTTTTGAAATTACGTACGGTATGTATAAATCTCATCGGTAACTAAGTAACAAGGATGGCGTTTTCAAAGCTTTATTCTCAGTAGCAATTGCATACATCAGACTAATGCTTTCACCATAGAGGGCTGTTCATTCCTACGGTATACGCTTCCTCAGGTGGTGCAAAGAAACTCGACGATAAGGCCCTCAGGACAATGAGCTAGTGTTAACCTTTTTTGTTCACACTATAGGAAAGCACGCTGCAGTCAGTAGCTCAAATACTTGCACTTCGAGAGTACAGTACATGTCTCCTCGCGAATTTTCTAGAATTCAAAAAAAAAAGACGGTAGGAGGGCAAGGTGGTAGCTTGCGATGAAAAATTCCTAAACATGGGTTGTGTCGACACACGGACTCGTCTTCCTTTGAATAAAGCAAGTCTGGTTGTCAAAACGTCGGCTCGACACAATTCATGTTTAGGAATTTTTCATTTTTATGTAATGAGATTTCTAAGCACGACAATATGCAACCACGATTTCATGACATCACACACACAACGATTTGACGGCGTTCATTATATTACGTTGTAATCCAGAATGAACAGATGCAATGACGTTAAAGAGGTTCTACGACTGTATGTTTTTCCGAAGCATGGCTTCGATACTCAGTTTGCATGTGTATTATTTCTATTTTTTTTTTATTTATTCATTTATTTTTATTTAATTTACCCCTCACGACCAACGGCATTACAGAGGGGAGGGGGGGGGGTACAAAAATTATATACATATATACATTAGCAAAACAAATAGAGTGAGTAATAATAACAGTAAAGTAAAACGCGCTTCTAAATCTGAATAACATTGGTGAGCCCCGCCGCGGTGGTTTAGTGGCTAAGGTACTCGGCTGCTGACCCGCAGGTCGCGGGATCAAATTCCGGCTGCGGCTGCTGCATTTCCAATGGAGGCGGAAATGTTGTAGGCCCGTGTGCTCAGATTTGGGTGCACGTTATACAACCCCGGGTAATCAAAATTTCTGGAGCCCTCCACTACGGCGTCTCCCATAATCGGATCGTGGTTTTGGGACATCAAACCCTACAAACCAATCAATCAATGCTTCTCTAAAACGCTTATTGTCAGTGATTGATCTGATTTCAGCTGGAAAGTGGTTCCACCCGATTGCGCTGCGTGGTGAAAATGATTGGGAGAATGTTTTCATTTCTGAAAATGGAACACCTGCTTCATGGCGATCTATGCGGTGGGACATATACTGTGTTGGAAGGAGTGAGCCGTGAAGGGTTGGGTGTTAATATATATTGTTAAACAATTTCAGGCGAGAAATTTTGCGATGCGTGCTTAAAGATGAAAGAGATAGGATGGCTTTCATGCCTGATATGCCAGCAATGTGATTGTAGTTAGAATGAAACGAGTGGAGCTATTCTGAACGAGTTCTAAGGCAATGGTTATTTTGTTTGCATTGGGTTCCATACGGAGGCAGCGTATTCTAGCTTTGGCCGAATTAAGGTTTTGTAAAATATTAGTTTAACAGTGAAGAGAGCGACACAAAAGTTGCGGCGCAGATAGCATAGCATGAGGTTAGCGTTGTTGAGGATGTACTCTGTGTGCACAGTCCAAATTATATTATTATGTTGACACCTAAGTATTTATATGAAGATTGATTCTAATGAAACATCGTTAACAAAATAGGAGAGAAGAGGAATGTTAGGGTTTCTGATGACACGCATAATTTTGCATTTTTTAAGATTAAGTTACATTCGCCATTCAGTGCACCAGTTAGATATAGCGGATAAATCAGATTGGAGAGCGTCAGTATCATTAGCGGTTATAATTTCTCGAAAAATCACGCAATCCTCTGCGAAAAGAAATATGTGCAAGGAAACATCAGCGGGAAGATCAATATAGTATGTTAAAAATAGCAGAGGTCCGAGGACGCAGCCCTGTGGCACTCCGGAATTTCTGTTAGTAAAGGGTGAATTATGGTCATTAGCACTAACAAATTGTACGCGGTCGAGAAGGAAACACCTAATCCATCCGAAAAGGCGAGTATCGATGTTAAGAACGCTGCGTTTGTAAAGTAGCAGTGAAATGCTTTAGAAAAGTCTAAGAATATGCAGTTGGCGCAACGATATGACGAATCACTGAGTGGCCTCGACCACTCCTACGGCGCGACAGCGGCAACTAACCTCCAGCAAGAGTGAGCCAAAGACCCGCTCAAGGTTTAATCTACAGTCTAGCGCACGGAGAAGAGCGTTGATGAATCAACCCACCACTTAGCGCGTTTTATTGTTTATCATCCCACCAGATGGGACGTCAAGGTTGGCGTCCACTTACTGCGCAACCACTTTATTTGCCAACCACGTTATTTACGATTGAAGAACGGCCTTTGCGAAAGCCACGGGCCAAAAAGACTTCTCGCCTTCCCATACGCCTATATCTTTAGATACCCAGTGCAGTGGAAACAGCCGGTGAAGCTGCTCCTTGAATGAAAGTTTAGGTCAATACAAGCGCTGTTCCATGTGTTTCGCATTCGTGCGGTAGCAGCAGCAGTTTGTTGTCGTTACTCTACGTCGGTAAGCGATTGGTCGCGGTTGTTAATGAGGCCAATTGATTCGCTTACGGTGAGGACCTCGCAAATGGGAGCTTTTTCGCCAGCATTCGTCCCCGCGCACATCTGTCGAATAGCGTTGTTCGCACGTATTCTATGCCTCGCGGTGCAATACCAACGCGAACGGTCTAACGATCGGTTCACTTGAAAACATCGTGGAGTAACGTTTGCGAATGCACTGACCTCTTATTCAACCGCAGGACGTAACAGCAGCGATTTGCCCGGAGAGCTGCGTGGGCGCCTGACGACGAGGCTCAGGAGTCGCAAACGAAGAAGGGCTTTGGGCGTAGGCGGTCGGGAGATCCTCACTGACCGTGCGTCGAGCAGCACGCGCGAAATTCGAGGGAGAGAGAAGATGAGTGCACGCTTCCTCTTTCTCACTAGCATAGGGAAAAGTTGTGGCCTCTTCCCTAGGTCTCATCCTTTCGCTTCCTTTTCGGGGAACCTAGGGAAGAGAGAGAACGTAAGGAAAAAGGGAGAGAAAACGATTGCTGCTGCAACTATGGGATGACGCGCGAGGCAGGCAGGGCTGCAGAGCCTTCGCTTGCTCCAAGCAACCATCGATCGACTAAAAACAGCTCCCAGAGCGCAGCCGAGGGGCTGCTGGCGAAAAAAAGGTGACGTTGTTTGGCCTGTTCAGCGTCTTTGCACTAAGGAGCGTTCGCGTTCTCAGGCCTGTGTTTTATTGCCATAGCAATAATATGGACACCCTCCACTTGATATTGCCGCTGGCGTCGCCGTCACTCACCGTATCTGTATACGTATTTATATATATGCAAGAAAAAAATAATGCTGAAAAAGACTTTGGTGCGCGTAATCGAACGTGGAACCCCTGAGTCGTGAATGCGATGCGTTTACTACTGAGTCTTCGGAGCAGCACGCCGAACGGCAAGCCATTTATATCTTCCACCTACTGCTGATTATGGGCTTCTCGGGGGAAGGCGGGACTATTGCGTTTTCAGCATTACCAGCAAAATGGCGCAATTAGCCGCGCGTCTCGGGGAGAGGGGGGATGGGCTATTGCGTCTCAGCATTACCAGCAAGCTGGCCCAATGAGAGCGTGGCGGCGCGCGTTCTCATCTCCCGCGCTTACATTGTCCCTCAGAGTGGAGAAGGTGACCCTCGCTCACGCACCCTTATCGCGCGGTGGGGACGATCGTACGTCTTGGCTGACGCTGGGCTTTCACTAGAACGTTTATGTTGTAGTTTCCGGGCGCACAAAAGTCACTGCAATCGTCGCACAGTCTTCGTTTGCGAAAAGGGCGCGCTTTTCAGACACAGCGAACAACTGAGACGCTTATTCGCGTTCATCTGTACTTGTGATACATTTTGTGAGTCGTTTTGGGCACGTTTTGATCTGATTGCTATTCGTCGCGTGACTTCCCAATTTGTTGCTATCGCATTCATTGCTTCGCCTTTGCGGCAAAGCTGTGATTTTTTTTTTTTGAACGAAAAAAAGGATTAACGCGTACCGACCACGGCAGACCTAGCTGTCAAGTAATGTTCACCGAGCATTAAGGTGGCAGCTCATTGGAGTTTGTGCAGTGCAGTCGTAAGAGGTAAAAGAAAACTTTATGAATGTAAATAGAATAACATAGCAGTTGTAGAGCTAAGTAACTGGTTGTTGTTTTTTTCCTTTTATGCCGAGACGTCGCTTAAATTTCTCTCTTTCTACGCGTTACGACCATAACTTAGAGCCCTCAAAATGGGAAAAAATAACAAAAAAGTCCCAATCTAGGTTAAAAGAGAAGGAATATTTGCTTGGCTCTAGAAAGATTTGAAAGGCACGAAAATGATAAGATTCTTTGAAAACATCACACTATCGTTATGACTATGGTAATGTTCAGTAGGCAGAAAACATTGTCCCAGGGACAATGTGCTGCTCAATATTCCTCTACCAGAAATGCTACATCACCTTCATAGCAACCTGCGTTAACTTCTGTGTAGGCCTGTGCCCTATTGTTTGCCTTTCGTGAGTGCATGATCGTCCAGCTTGCATGACTTGTGTGCCAGGGTGTGTTGATTTTTGGTGAATAAATTGAGTGCAGTCACAGATATGAAGCTTAGCTCTTTCACTGGTTGGACTTCTAAGGGTAGTCAAAGGTGCGCTGTCTCAGAAGACGATCGAAAAGGCCGGAGCTCCAAGAAAACGCCGGGGAACAACCTTGAGACGGCCAGAGAACTTTCGACATATTAAGCATGACCACTTATTCTTGTTTCACATCGCTTAGGGTTGAGCAACTTTTGTGAAACTGGCACATGGTTGTGCAGTCTTAGCATTTGCTTTATTTATTGAACAAAATGTGACGAAGGTCACATTTTGTTCAATAAATGAACGCCAGCTTCCAATATTCGTTTAAAAGAAAAAAAATCCTAAAGCAAGTGCCCAGTTTCATCGATGAAATCATGGCCCAGTTTTCATAGATGCTGTTCATTGCATAGATATTAAAACACTGTCCGTGTAATACGATACCACAATTCCATTCAACAGGGTAGCAAACCATACATGCGTCTCGTTAACCTCATTACTTTTTCTTGCTTTTCTCTCCCTGACTGTAACCTGGCTGGACGTGCAGCCATAAGATAACACCCGTAGTCACGTGACATGTTATGTCATGCATCTCTCTATATAGCACTACCCCAACTGCAATAAAGTTGTTGTTCACCCGACTGACGGCGTCGCTACATAGTGGCAGCGGAACCCACCTGATGCATCAATGGCGTCAGCGTTATCACCACCCCCGAAGCCCATGGAGGGGTCACAGGACCCTTGGATTGCCTGGAAAACTTGGAAAAGTGAGTTTCTGCTGTTTTCCACTACTACGAAGTTGAACACACAGCCAAAGGATGTTCAAGCAGCCACTTTGCTAGTTACCATAGGCGAAAAAGCTCGAAAGGCATACAGTACCTTGTTCGAGGAAGCGGAAGACAGAAATGACGTGGAAGTCCTGATTAAGAAATTTAAAGAGCACTACAGGCCCGCCACCAACTTGACATTTCAAGAATTTCTTTTTGGTTGAAGAAACCAGAAGACAGGTGAACCATTTAACGAATGCCTAACAGAACTGCGTGTGTTAGCGAAGAACTGTGAATTCGGGAGTCTCGAAGACGGCATGTTGCGCAGCCGAATCATTCTGGGCACAACAGATAAGAGCCTCCAGCAAAGATTGATAGCGGAAAACCCGACGTACGAAAAGACCGTCGACATATGCCGAGCGCAGGAACAAAGCAACGAGCACTTCAGAGAAATAAGTGGAGCCACATGATCAGGTGAAGGCACTCTGGTAAATGCAGTCGCAATAGGAAAACATTGTTGCTACAAATGTGGGGGTCAAATGCACCGCAGTGACATGTGTCCAGCGAGAGGAAAAACATGCCGAAAGTGCGGAAGGTTAAACCATTTCACTAGAGTATGAAGGTCATCCAAGTACCCGCAAAACGTCAGCCAACAGATACGAGATCTGCGAGCAGAAGACAACAATTTTTTCTCTACAAACGTTGACTGTCGGCGCGATCGCCAGTGGTGACTGGAGCGCAGCTGTGTACATCGAGGGCTATCCCATCACATGCAAGCTAGATACCGGTGCAAACTGGTGTGTAATTTCAAGAAGCGATGTTTCGAAATTGCCATATAAAGCTCAGCAAGCTTGCAACGTTAAGCTCACAGCATTTTTTGGGCACACAACAGCCGCGCATGCGCAAGTTCAGTTGATGCTTTCAGCGAATGACAGAACCAAAGAACAAACATTTTTCATTGTCGATCAAGACATCCCTGCCACTCTGAGTGGTGCAGCAGCTGAAAGTCTTGGCTTCATCTACCGTATGCGAGACCTACAGCATGAACTGTACCCGCCAGTACAATCTTTCGCGGACGTCTTTGAAGGACTCGGGCAGCTAAAAGACTTCGAGTATGACATGAAGCTCAAGCCAGACGCAGTGGGAGTCGTCGTTCCGGCGAGAAGAGTTCCCGTAGCTTTTCAGGACAAACTCAAGGCTGAGCTGCAGCGCATGGAAGCCCAAGGCGTAATCGCAAAGTTAACCGAGCCAACTGAGTGGTCTAGCCATATGGTAACAGTTGTAAAGAAGGACAAGGTTAGAATTTGACTGGATCCTACAGCGCTTAACAAAGTGCTGCTGTGGGAGCATTATCCAATGCCAACCTTAGAAGACGCAGCCTCGCAACTATCCGGTGCCAAGTACTTCTCAACGCTTGATTCTGGCAAATTAAGCTAAGGGTTCTGGCAAATTAAGCTAACCGAATCAAGCTCAAAATTGTGTACGATTAGCACGCCGTATGAGCGTTATCGGTTTTTTCGAATGCCCTTCGGCATCGCGTCTGCCCCAGAAATATTTCAAGCAGCTATGCATTACATGCTGGAAGGTTTGCCGTGCGTAGCCGTGATAATGAATGACATATTGCTTTGGGGCCGCACAAAAGAGGAGCACGACAACAACCGGTCACTTTTGTTATTGCGCTGTCGTGAAAACAACCTCAAACTTAACCTAAAGAAATGCACTTTTTGCAGCCTGAAGTCCGCTACCTCGGGCACATTCTTAGCACTGAAGGCCTCCGCCTGGACCCAGGTCGAGTGAAAGACATACTGAAAATGGAAAAGCCAAGGAATTGTAGAGAACTCCAAGTCTTTTCAGGCATGACGAATTATGTACAGCGATTCATTCCTAACATGTCTGACGTGACAGCCCCGCTAAGAACACTGCTGCACAAAGACATTGCATGGGTTTGGACTGACTCTCAGCAGCGAAGTTATGAAATGTTGCGTGAAAGCTTAGCAAATGCACCAGTTCTTGCTTTCTTCAACGCAAATAAGCCAGTAACCCTCTCGGATGACGTTAGCCAAAAGGGAGTTGGCACTGTGCTTATTCAAGACGGCCGTCCTGTCGCATTCTCGTCACCTTCACTAACAGAGGCGCAGCAACGCTACGCTCAAATTGAAAAGGAAACATTGGCAATTGTACATGGTTGCATCAACTTTCACGATTACATCTTCGGCCAAGAAACTGTGATCGTTGAGACCAATCACTGTCCCTTGGTGCCGATATTCAGCAAACCGTTTTATCAATGTCCGCTTCGCTTACAGCGCATGCGTTTGACTTTGCAACAATATCCTATTATATTGACCTACAAGCCAGGGAAAGAGCTCTTCCTAGCTGACGCCTTATCTAGGTTTTCCAGTGAACAGCTTGTGAAAGAAGAAACGGAGCAATTTCAAGTGAATGTGCTTGAGTACATTTCAGCTTCGCAGCAGCGCCTGAGGGATCTTCGTGCTGCAACGAGTGAAGATTCGGCCCTGGTCAAACTTCGAGGTTACGCCGA